CGAGGCTCCGCCCACCGGCTCCGTAGTTTGCGGCCGGCGGACACCTTACACCGGAGCCCGCAACTTCCCACAAGGTCACCGCTGCCGCCCTCTGCGCTCTGCCGCCCCCTCGGTGGCCTTGTGGGAAATCCGGGCCTGCCTGTGTGTGTTGTAAAGTAGCCACCACCCTAAACTCCCTCTGGTAATAGACTACAATCTCACATGTAGTACGCTAATTTGTATTGAGATTGTAGTCCATTAAATGAGCAAGCTTGGAACAGTGACTACTTCTACAATTTCAAGTTTTGTTAAGGTGCCCACACACCTTACAATTTATCTGCAGATTTTCTGTGGTCAGATGGTAAAAGTGCAACAGATTGGCCCAGGTGGAGATTACTCCATCCACACAGTTAAGTGTAGATGGAGGAATCTGTTGCACCTTTTCCATCTGACCACAGAAAAGCTGCAGATAAATTGTAAGGTGTGTGGGCAGCTTAAGCTAGCTTGTATTGAGATTGTAGTCCTTCACGGGAGTGAGCTTGGAGTGGTGGCTACTTTACAACACACACAGGAACCATGGGGAACAAAAGTAGCCACCCTCCAGAAGGAAGGACAGTGTCAGCACCAATTCAGAGATGATTTGAGGATCTACAGCCGAGTGATGCTCAAACAAGGTACAGTATTATGAACTCCTTGGTGACGGCGTACAGTGTACGTCGCCAGCATCGGGGCTGTTTAAACAGACTCGCCGCCGGGACTCTGTTTAAACTTGTAAAGCCGACTGTCGGCTTCCGTGCTTCCCGGGCTCCCTTGCCCCTCCTACGGGCCCGGGAACGGCTTCCTTCGTGTCGGCGGGGAGGTGGGGAGGAGATCGACGAATTTCCGTTCATCGATGCCCTCCCCGTTCTATGGGACCTGGAGCGATGCAGATTGCATCACTTCCGGTCCCTGGGCTGTCAGCTCTGGGCTCCTGCAGCCCAGCTATAAGCTATTGAAGTGCGATCTGCACTTCAATAGCTTATTTCCAGTGTAAAGGTGACACTGAGGGTCTTTTGGACCCCCAGCATCACCTTAAAGAGGACCTGTCACCACCATCTGCTATTACATGGGGGGGCTTGCAAGCCCCCCCATGTGATAGCAGTCAAAGTAAAGTAAAAAAAAAAAAAAAACAGTTTTTAAAATTAAAATAAAATAAAATAAATCTAATAATAATAAAAAAATGTAAAAGTCCCCGCCCCCGTGAGCACGCGCGTCACCACGTAAACACGCGCCAGGTGCGTCTACGTATGAAAAGACGAACGCGCTACACATGTTGGGTATCGCCGCGCACGCCGGAGTGAGAGCAGTAATTCTAGGGCCAGTATTTTGGGGTATCTCTAAATTGATGACCTGTGGGGGCTTTTAAAGCTTTTTCTATAGACTTTTTGGGGGTACTGCAGTTTTTCGCCGTTTCACGGACGCACGCAATTTGTAACCTCGGCATGTTGGGTATCGTTTTACTCGTTGTAACCTCATCTTTTATATTTCATTAAAAAAATGGGTAATTTGTTGTGTTTTGGGGCATTTAATTAAATTTGTCACTAAATTTTGGGGTTTAATAAGGAGTTGCGCTAATATTGCGCAACATAAACATTTGCAACTACCACCATTTTATTCTATAGGGTCTTGGCATTCAGAAAATATATAATGTTTGGGGGTTTTAAGTCATTTTCAGGCCTAAAATGTGGAATATGACATGGGTGCTAAAAATGGGGAAAAAAAGGCCTCAGTCATGAAGGGGTTAATAGTTAGGGTGCTTAACTATTGCTTACACCAATAATTTTAATCTGTTAGCCTTCACAGTTCCTAAGGAAAGGTAAATGACAACAAAAGAGGCACTTGGGTTAGTAATGTTTATACATCTGATCTACCTCAAATATCCCCCCACAAACTCAAATCAGTTGAGTCACTTATTTTCTTATCTTGTGTTGCCCTGCCTCGTGTTGTGAAAGTAAAAAATAAATAATTATACCTGCTTTTAAAAATCTTTAACAACAAGAAATTGGTGGATCGAAAGCACTAATGACCTGAAAAGTGGAAAAACCTTTTCTCTCCAGTCAAGTATCTTTCTTCCGGAGCTTGACTTAATTACATTTATTTTCCTAACCAAGCCCATGTTGTTCTCTTATATCCTGCAGTTCTAAGTACAGACTTGTATTTTCCACTGGCCACTGACTCTGGCTCCCATAGCTAATTGTTTCTGCAGTAGCTATTTCTAATTCTATTACCACCTGTAAAGTCACGCTCATTTCCTTTGGAGAATTACTCAAAACTTTTACCCAAAGATTAAAATGATAGAAAAAAAGTTACTTTGAAGCAGTAGTGTTTTTCCCCAAGAGGAGGTGGGACATTTTTACTGAGCTCTCTGATTCCCATGGAAATCAGTCAAAGTAAAACCAAAGTGAATGTACTGTACATGCAGTACTTTTCAAAACAAGGTACTCTGCATGGAGTGATGCTCTGCAGTCGGTGTACTTATCTGGTTGGCTCTTCATTAATTAAAGTGGCCCTATCAGCAATTTTACAGGTCTGCACAAATAAATTATTGACATGCCACGATATACAATAGCAGTGTATTTTTTTTAACATAAATGGTACCATTGAAAAACAGTTATTTTGACATTTCCTGACTAGGTACAGTCTCTGAAGATCACATTGAGTGGGAGATATTTTGGAGAAAAATGTTGATCTGCCGCAGGCAGTAGAGATCATTTCTCAGTCTTCCCCCTGAAATGTTGCAGAGGGCCTTTTCTGTGAGGCTGAGAAATATATTTTACAAAGCAAGGTTGCAGGGTAAGAGGATGGTTTTTAGACTGGCTGTTTACAGATAAGCAGCAGGGGGATAAAAAAATGTGAGTGGGATGGATTTTTGGCTAGTCACAGGGGCTGAGAAAGGTGAGGCCAGGTTCACACCTGGGTGTTCAGTGACCGCGTGGCAATCGTGCACAAAACAGCATGGATGGCTGCATGGTTGCGGAATCACAACACTGCTGATCGCATTGGCAGTGCCATTCTTTTCTAATGGTACTCCAGTCGTGCCAGCCAGATTGCGCAGTTTCCGGCAGCGATTCCGTCTGTGCAAGCACGCACGATCGCAGCTGAGAAACCGCCTGGTGAGTGCCGCGAAAAAAGGTACATGTACCTTTTTTTCACGATTGCAGGGATATAACCCCATCGAAATCAATGGGGCCGTGCGGCAACCGCACACAATTGCGCGGTCCCAAGACGTGTGCCCCAGGATAGCCCAAGTCTGCACCAGCCCTGAGTGTGATGGATTTTTACACTGGCTAGTCACAGACAATCATTAGGGGTCTGAGCAATGTAAGTGTATTGGTTTTATACACTGGCTGTGTCACAGAGGCAGCGGCACTGTAGATATCTATCAGTGTATTAATATGATATAGGCAGTATGATTGCGCATGTTTATAATAAATGTAAACATTGTCTTATGTCTAGGTCCAACTGAAAGCACTAGGAAGCATGATGAAACTATATGCAGTATATAAAAGTTGCAATATTAACGTATACGTAATATCTTGTTAATAATGTTGCTGCCACCATTGAACAGTTTATACAAGAAAATCATGTCCCCCCTTAATCTCCTAACCTCCAAAGAGAACATATTTAAATTTAATAGACTGTAGAATAGACTGTAGAAATGTTTACTAATGACATTCTACAAACAGATTCTTCTAGATAATTGCAGACTTTTTATTCTTTGCATACCTTTTCCTCTCCATTCTCCTCACAGTGGCAATTTTTGCTAAGGGCAAATTGTTATATCTCTCTTTACTTCCTGGAACTCTGGCACATGTGACCATGCACATCATCTCAGGGGAGGAAAATGCCTTTCCCTGAGATCTCGTGAGATTACATATGAGATTTTCCAGCAATATGCTGCTGATGTAACCTTCCCTGGATGCAATGCTTGGGCACGATTATATCTTTTGTGCCAAAGAGGACCAGGAAGTAGAAAAACTGTAATTGTAAGTAAAATAAAAATATGTTTGCTTAACTAATGGATTTAAGATGATTTCATATCGACATGCAGAGCTGGATGCTGATGTGATTTTTCGTGAAAGGGATTAACGGTCCACTTTAAGCAAGATTTTGTTACAAGTATACTTTTTTGTTCACCAGGACAGTTAAAATTCCAGATTCTCCAGAGGGACTCGGATTCCAGATTAGAGGATTTGGTCCATCTGTTGTACATGCTGTGGGTAGAGGTACAGTTGAGTTTTATTCGTACAGTCTAATCTTCCTACATATTTGCATGATAATGCCTATTCTAAGCAGTGCAGGTCAATATACTTGTACATTTAAAAAGCTTAACTCAATCACCTTATATTGATTTTCATGTACTCTAATGGCATGTAACACTGTCTTGAAGCATCATGTAGTATTCTTATGTTAGAGTTTAAAATAATCATTTTGGTCATGTGCTCATTTCCTTAGGTGTACATGTAAAATATGGAGCGATTTGTACAAACATATTAATGTGCATAAGGTTATGTATGCCCACATTGTTGTTTATATATACAGTTGCAGTCTTAGTGAGGATTAGTAAGGGTGCCAAGGTTCTTCATGGTCAGTAATGTTAAATTAGCTTTGTTTTAATGAAGAGCAAATTAGTCATTATGCTTATTCGTTGTCATTAATCACCCTCAGACCTCACCTGTACTTACATTTGCTCCTACTTAAAAGCTTATGTGTTGGTGACAAAATCTCTTCTTACTAGCACAGACCAGACAATTGACTATGGCAGATCAGTTTTTTTATGACTGTACATACACAGTCATGGCAACATCTCCTATAGGTCTACCTTGCAGTAGTCAATTACAGTGATAATGTGGATTGAAGCAAAACTGTAGACATGCACCAGCCAGAATAATACATTTTCTTTCTATTAAGATTAGGTACATCGTTTACACCATCCAGTTATGCTGTGTCAGTACTGAGCACATGCATGCACCAGGCTGTGCAGAACTGACAATTTCTATGCTACAGTTTATATCTACAGATGATAAATTGAAGAATTTCTTCTACTGCACAGAGGACAGTTGCAGCTAAATTAAGATTGCTTTTGGTGAAATGATCCAATTACTCAGTGTCATCTAGGTTGCAAAACAGTCGTTGCAGCACTTCTGACCTTACCCATAGTACGCTGCTTTAAAAAATATATTTCTAAAGTGCTTAAATTAATATATATCGTCACTCTGTCATCTCTTCAAATTGCTTTTCTCATCTCAAAACTCAGCTATTCAACTTCATCAGCAGCTGGATTGTAAATCAGCAGCAGGATTGTAATTTTAATTGAAATTGGTAATTTCTCACATATTGCCTACAGGGACAGTGGCTGCTGTTGCTGGTCTGCACCCAGGGCAGTGCATCATCAAAGTGAATGGGATCAATGTCAGTAAGGAAAGCCATGCAAGTGTCATTGCTCATGTGACTGCCTGCAGGAAGTTTCGGAGGCCAATGCAGGTAAACAAATCAATTGAAACTGGATACTTCTCGTGAGCTCTAAAATGTTGTAGTCAGTGGCGTAGCAATCGCCGTGCCGTGCGGGCGGCCTGGGTCGCTATGGCATCATATGCTGGTAGCTTTAACTGGCGGCTATGAAAAGAATGCGCTGCTGTTTAGATCACTTGCAGTGATATGTGCAGCAGCGCGTTCTACTCACAGCCGCTGCGTAGTTAATGAGAGCCAGCAGCGGCAGTGTAGCAGGCTGGACCCGGCAGTGGAGGAGGAGGCGGGGCCCGTGGCTGGCAGCAGGGGAGGAGGCGGGGCCCATCAGCGATCCTGCAGGAAGTGGAGGCGGACAGGTAAGAAGTGTGACCAGCCCACCTGAGGGTGACCCTGCAGAGCCCACCATAGAGACTCTATGGTGGGCTCTGCAGGGTCACCCTCAGGGATCTCAAGTGGGCTCTGCAAGGGGCATAGCTAGTCACAGGTCACAGGGCCCCATACAAAATTTTGCTATGGGGCCCTGTGATTTCTAGTTACGCCCCTAGTTGTAGTGTAAGTATTTGTGTAACAAGGACCATGTTTGTAACTATATGATTTCAGTATAAACCGACAGTATTTAAAACTGATCTCTAGGTGGGTATGAAAGACACCAATTAGTGCAGGTATTTCATCTGTGTATTTAGCTATTTGACTGGAGTTAAGCTTTAAAAATATCTCATCCAAAATTTTCAGGAAAACATGGCACACTGGCACAGTGTAGCAATAACTTACAAAACAGGAGTCACTTATGCAGGAGTCACTTATGTGGACCGCATTGCAGTCTATCAGTTGGTGAGCAGTGATGCTTGGGAACTGTATTCCTTTTGAACTAATTCTGCTTGTGTCTGCTCTCTCCCAGTTCCCATTAGATGTTCCACATCCTGATCATTAGATGTGTACTTGGTAATGTCAGGGTTGGTTAGGGACATGTTTCGGGGTTGTGCCACCTTCCCTAACCTTGTTTTTCAAGAAAATTGGGGCAACAGAAATATTTAGCTGGTCTTAGCCAAGCTAGATAAGTAGGAATAATTCTGTTAATAAGAATAAACTACTATAGTTTATTGAATATGTTCATAGGCTTGGCATGGAAAATGTTGCTGGATGCAAAGCAGAGCTAACAAAATGGAGTACCACAGTAAGCAGAGAAGTGGGATCAAAGAGTAAACCCGGAATGTTGGCCCTGGCATTTTTGCTGAGAACCAATCAGTCTCTAGACCAAATGTAAAAATGTACAATTTTATTTTCCAGCTTAAAGCAGCACTGGAAATAATCTTGCATAAACTTCTGTAAAACTCACACGCAAGATGTATTTTAGACTTCAAAGTTAAGTCCACATTTTAAGCTGGTCATGCATGGAAAATGATTGTCCGTTGTTAAGTAACCAATCTTTTATGTGCTGGAACAGTCACACGCTTGCATATGTCTTCCAAGAAGGATATGAGAACTTTGAAAGTTATAAAGATATTCTTTTTTCACAAGGCTGAAGGGTGAACCATCAGGAGAGCTATTTGAGGATCAAGGTGGTCTGGATTGAGGAGGATTTCCTGCATAACTCTTAGTAGTGACTAGACTTTAGAGATAATGTTGAAATTGGACTTTTCCATAGCTCTACAAGTGTGTATGAATACATTTCTGACAGGTCACAATATACATTTTTTTATTATTATTTATATAGCACCAACAATTGTATGCAGTGCTTTACATAGTTGCACATTCACATCAGTCCCTGCCCTCAAGCAACTTACAATCTAGGGTCCCTATCTCACATGCAAGGGCCAATTTAGACAGTAGCCAATTAACATACCAGCATGTCTTTGCAGCATGGGAGGAAACCAGAGTAGCACACGCAAACTCCTTGCACAAAGTGACCTGCCCTGGATTGGAACCAGAGACCCCCAGTGCTACCCATGGCACCACTGCGCTGTCTCAGTAAAAGTGTAGTGTTTCAGAGAATATGTATCTTTTATCACTATAATGCAGTTTATAAGCTCCAGTCAAGTGGCATTGCCTTGGATAAAAAGCTGTCACTACTGTGGGCAGGAGAAAGCGTTTCCTCATTCTCTTCTCCCTCAGTGCTCAGACTGCAACATTGTAACTTTGTAGAGAGGCTGCATCAGGGGGCAGATCTGTGTCAGACATTTCTGAACACAGCCAAGAACTGTGCAAGCTCTAGGATTTTCATGATTTTGTAATCTCTAAACCAGAATCTCAGTCCAGAAATTTGATGATGACAGTTGGTATTGTCAGGAGGTGTACTGTAAGGCTAGTTTCACACCAGATGCAGTGCTTTCCGACCCGATTCTGGCCAGAATGCACTGCATCGCATTGCGGCCGGCTCACTTTTTTCTGGGGCAGGAGGGGGTGTGTCGGGCCATTGAAGTGAATAGCATCTGTAGCCACGCCCTCTGGCCGCAATGCGATCGGACGCATGGGATCGCAAGGCACATTGTACCTGCGGTCCGGTGCAATCAAAATGCTGCAGGCACTATTTTGATCGCACCGGACCGCAGGCACAAGGTGCCTTGCGATCCCGTGCAGCCGATCGCATTGCGGCCGGAGGGCGTGGCCAAGGTGCCATTCACTTCAATGGCCCGCCACACAAAAAAGTGAGCCGGCAGCAATGCGATGCAGTGGGTTCTGGCCAGAATTGGGTCGGAACGCACTGCATCTGGTGTGAACCTAGCCTAAGAGGTAAATAATACATAAAAGTGTTATATTTACAAATTATTAAGCATTTAAGTGACATGAAAACAAATATCTGATGCTAAACCCCCTTTAAGGACTAGACAGCTAGTGCTGTCTCAAGAAGTTCTATTACTGAGGAAATGGCCAAATCAAATTGACAAGTGAATGAAGCATAGACAAAATAGACAGCTAAGAGTGCAGCTAAAGTCTTTTTTTTTATTACATAAGACAAAAGTCATGTATATGTAGCAAACATAAGTATCATTCTTAGTACAGGAGTCATCTGCAGTCTTTGTCCACCACTGCAGGTCAGAGTGGATCAATATTTCTGATCTTTTTGTATGGACAAATTTAATAAGCAAGTCCATACGTTTTCGTTAAAAAATAAATAAATAAATAAACTATTAAAAATAGTTCTTCTGTAATGCAAGACAAGATTAAGTATATTGGATAATCTATGTTTAATAAGTGATATATTTGCATAAGTGGTTCAGGTAAAAGTATGTACATAATTAATGTGGTGTTTCTGTTTTCCATTAATAGCAAGATTCTATCCAGTGGATCTATGACAGCACTGAGAGTGCCAAGGAAGATATCATAAAACCAGCTCATCCTCGGCCCTTAGGAGAAAACGAAGGGGATGTATTTGACTGCAAAGTAGAAGGTAAAATCAATTGATAGTCCTTGCTTTATTACAGATCACAGTTAGAAATGTCACTCCATCTCTTATTTATTGATGTGTGTTCTTCACCGAAGAGGTTATTGACAAATTCAACACCATGGCAATCATTGATGGAAAGAAGGATCATGTGAGCCTCACTGTGGATAACGTTCACCTAGAGTATGGTGTTATTTATGAGTATGACAGCACGGCAGGAATCAAGTGTCATGTAGTGGAGAAGATGGTTGAACCAAAGGGCTTCTTCAGCCTAAGTGCCAAGGTAAGAGATGTTCACCCTTTTGCATCATTTTCCAGCTTCCCACACTTAAGAGCTTTTAAAGTGTTTTTGGAGTCAGATTTGAGAAAACCCCTCTATATGTTTGTTATGTGTTCCCATTTACACAGCATATCTAAAAATAATTAAAAATATATATATTTCTTACCTTTTAGATATGGTTGTTGAGTAGACCTTTGGCTTTTCTGTACAAGTTTAAAGTTACAGGAAACTCTGCTTGCCTCTATAGAAAGATTAGTGCCCCCCTGAGCATCCTGTCATTAAAATACAATGCTTTTAGGTGTTTAACCCTTTATGAGGACAGGCAGTGTTAAAATCTAGTTTACAACTGATAATTAAATCTGCCAGCACAGTACAGACAGAGTCAAGACTGGTAACCTCCCCATCCCCTTGCATTGAAAATCCAGTTGAGAGGAAACTAGTAATGTAAGAAAACAAGTACTGTAATATGTAAGCAGTATATGTATGTAATATGTATGTGAATGAGAACTTCAAATATAAAACAGGTTATGCCAACGTTGCTGCAAAAGTGGAAATACACTTTAAAACATAAACACAATGTCTGCCCTGTCTGTTATTTAAAGAAGGGTGGTTCATATGGTGTATATACCATCCATAATATAAGGACAAACATTTGGAAATTGTATCTCTTTGGGCTGTTAATGCTAATTTAAAAGTGACTTTCTATGCGATAGTGCTATTTTCTATGGTAATTCCTATATTTTTGCAAACAGTGTAAAAAGATGTAACGTGTGACTCATCAGAGGAGCCAGGCATAGAGAGATAAGTCTTGGCTGGGTAGGATTTTTAAGCAATTAAAAACCCTGTCAAGTAAAAGCAGCAATTTCTAAATATTTTTATATTCATGCCATGTGAATGGGAATATGTAACAAATATAAAGTGGGTGTTATCCAAGTTTGAATGCAAAACTGGAAATAGACGTCATGTCACCGCCCCTTGTCCAATCAGAAAATGCTAGTATTCAGTGCTAAAAACACAAGACGATCTCTGAATGGCCACTGGTGGTTAGGGAAGGACCCTCTGTGTTTTTACAGCAGAATGGAAACTGCTCAGCACAGCCCAGTACCAGGACCTGGAAGAATGCTGCCAGCACTGTAATACCTCCAGCTACTACAGTGTTTTACAGAATCCCTGTGGTCCACCAGGTATAAAATATGTATACTTACATTGGGCCAAGCTGGACCAATGTAAGTATACATAAATATGTATAGCTGGAGTTCAGCTTTAAGTTATGTCTAGATATTAGCCTGCAGTCTTATGTGCGTGTCATCAGAACATGCATGTTTATGTAATAAGCAAGCATGCTTAATGCTACCTTGACTTGTCTTAGAATAATTATTATTATATATATAACAATAGAAATTAGAATGCTAGCAGCTAGTTTGGCTTTTCTCCTAAACACTGTTAGTCAGTAGTGATGGGCCGAACACCTCCGTGTTCGGTTCGAATTCGAACTTTAGAACATGGGAAAAGTTTGAACTCAATGCAAGTCTATGGGTGTAGAACTTTAAAAAATCAAATGTCACCATTTTGAAGCCTTATATGCAATTTATTGGCCATAAAAAGGGTAAATAAATAAATTTGGGTACTGCCCTGTGGGACATGAATCAATGAAATGTAAAAAAAAAAAATACAGTTTTTAAAGGAGCAGTGATTTCAACATCACTTAAAGTGAAACAATAAAAATGAAAAAATCCTTTAAATATCATGTCTAGGGTGGGCTCCCCTTAAACTGCCTGTAAAGTGGCACATCTGTACAATGTATAGAACCAGCTGCAGCAAAAATGAGATTGCAGAGAGAGGAGGGGACATTCACCCGGCAGGATGAGGTATGCCGCCGGGTCCCTTCCTCTCTCCTGACACTGTCGGGCTCTCTGTCCATGACCGAGTGCCCGACTTTTTAGAGGGGGTGACACCAAAATGACTGTCAGTCATTTTGGTGACACCCCTCCAATGGTGTCACCCGGGAGCGTGCCACACCCCCCTTGTGATGCCACTGGAATAGAAGCAGGTACAGATCTGAAATAATAAAATTTGGTAAAATCCCTGCAATGTAAGTAGCTGACCTAGAGGGGACTGTTTCACTGTAAATTATATTTCTAAGATTAATTGCAGTGACCTGTTTTCTGATGTCTCTCACAGGTATTAGATGCTTTTGCTAAAAGTGATGAACAGTTTGTACAAAACTGCAGCAATCTGCATTCTTTACAAGAAGTCATTCCTCCAGATCTTCAGAGTAAATTTACTATCATCTGTCGAGAGAAAATCGAACATATTTACAGGAGGATCGCTAGTTACAGAAAGGTTTGTCATTTACCTTAAAGTGTATCTAAACCCAAGAACGAAAATGTAATATGTTGCAGCTTGCCTGTCCTTACATGTGGTGGTTACATTAGATTTCTTTTTTTAAGTTTCAGCCCTTTATTTTCACCTTGTTATCCTGCTAGTAACACACTTCTTCTCCTAGGGTGACAGTGCTCACTCTTTGTACTGTATCTATGGAAGAGCCACGTTATCACCATAGAAAAGGAAGTGTGTTATGACTGGAGAAGACCCCCCTCCCCTACTTATGTTATGAAGAGGAGGGAGGTGGAAGTGTTCTGTAATCCACATAAGTGAACTGGGCAAGGTTGAAAATGGTACTGCGTTGTCACCTCAAAAGGATGTGGGGAGCATGCTGGATTTCTGGCAGGAATAACAATTCTTTTTTCTTTTTACTTGCAACATTTTTAAAGAGGGAATATGGGAAAATGTAGATGCATTGAATACTGTATATACTGTGTATATGTATGTATGTATATATATATATATTTTGTCCATACATACACTTTAAGCACCCTCAGTGTTAACAGATGTACATATGGATGAGAGGGAGGAAATTTCATAGACATGGGAATGGGAATCCTGGTACTTGTCCTAAATTGCCATTGCCCATCGTCTTCCTTTTAAATTTCATTTATTAGCTGATATAGAAGCTCTTCACCAGTACAAGAGTGTTCTGTAACCAATGTTAATACATAATTTGAAGCATCTTGTACTGAGTACATGTAGGCTGCCATTGCTGAACTATCATATTGTTGCTAGCTGCCTGTCTGTTGATCCACAGCTCTTAATTCTTTCTATCTCACTAACCTGAAGTTTAGGGCCTATTACAGTTTAATGCAGCAAAACGTTTGCATTTTGCTTCATGAAAATGAATATTTAGTAGAAATTCCATTATTTTCTATGTGGCTGGAATACAACTATGTGCTGCAGTTTAGTTGAAAGACAAATGGAAACTCCAAGGGGCCTTTGATACCTACATGTGTGTGTTACAATATGCACCATATGTACATGGAACAGTGTAAATCCAGCGTTAAAGAGTTAAAAAATAGTTCTGTTTGTTCCAGATGAGTAAATTCATAGGACAGAGACAATCAGGCAGCTAGCATTTTCAGAAGAAAGTTATCAATGACAGCCTCCATTTTTCTCAGTAGGGGTTCTTTAGCTTGCACATAAAATAGTCACCCTTTGCTGACTGCAGTAGAGCTCGATATTCCAATGTAGGCCTTGTGCTGCCCTAAAGTGGCAGCAAAATACAGTATACAGTATCTGGGTCACTTCTTTTGCAATGGCTGGAATGAGTAGCTGCACAGTTGTTGGAGACCTACAGGTTCCTAAAGACTTGACAGAAAGAAGAAATCATTTGTTTTGACTAATGTGTTGTCACAGTGCAGGAGTTCAGGCAGGATTTTTTTATTTCTTGTTCACATAATCACATATTCTCTTTTTGTGGGGATGTGTTGAAGGAAACCACAGGGACAAGCTATAAATATTGTTTCCAGATCCAGACTGAGCTTACATCCTCAGTGGTTATTTGTGAACCAGAGTGTGATTTATACAATATGCACACAGGGCTAAATCTACCATAGAAATCTGAACAGCCACAGACATCATACCTCTCATCTGTCATAGTTGTTGATTTGATAAATGCAAATAGGCTGTTAACTTTGCAAGGCAATATGCACTTTGCAGGGGAAGTTTCCCTTAGCTTGGTGAATCTGGTGAAATTTCACTTTGAAACGTATACCCAATCATGTGCAAGGAAAATAAAATAAAAACATGATTTTTGCTTGCACATGATTGGATGATGGAAGTCAGCAGAGCTTCACCTCATTCATTAACCTAAGGGCAAACTTAGCATGCAAAGTGCAATTTCCCTTGCAAAGTGAACAACCTATTTCCAATTAGTAAATCAACCCATTAGAGAAAGAACTGGACTAAAGGTGGCCATAAACTTTACAACCATCGCAAGACCGTTGTCTTGCGATGGTTGTAAAGTAATTTAAAAAACGTACTATCTGCCCATCTTGGACAGGCAGATCATACTTGCGATCATCGCAAGCCCGCCCCCCTGAGGGGCAGGCTTCCGATGACCACAATGCTGAACGGGCAGTGTGCGCGTGCGCACAACGGCCCGTTCGGCATTTGTCTCCCGAGCATCATTCAAACCAGCCGAAAATCGTACGATGGTTTTCTAGCATGCTCCTTAGACAAAAGAGGTGCGACTGAACAGTAGAAACGGTCGCACGTCTTTATTCACACTGCGCGATTATTGTACGATCGCGGGATTTCCTGCGATTCTCATACGAGAATCGTGCAGTGTATGGGCACCTTTATGCTCACAACAACCATATTCTCCTTTTCTGCAGTTAGTTTGGAGAATTAAAGAGTTAATCTGGTTTTTTATGGACAACATTGTATACATTAGAATCATTGTATTGTTATTCAGTGGGCTTTACATATATGATTGGCTTGTAGTAGTTCCTCTTTATTCAACAAAAGTAAAGCCAGACACTCACTGTCATTTTGACAGTATAGTGACCATATGTCTGATCAGCCTGTCAACTGCTCAACATACAAGTCTGTATGTGATGTGAATGGGACAATACCCATGCTAGTAGCAGAGAAGTGGCTTGCATGCGGCTCTCCATGACCATCAAGTAGCTCTAAACTTCTTGTGCCATTCCATCTACCCCCATTCAAAATTACAAGCAAGTGATTAGCAAGTGGTAAATGATAAATCATTTCCATACTAATTGTTGTTTTGTCAGCATTTTACCAGCCTACTGTAATGTTGCAAGAGCAGATAACACTACATTTCTGCATCTTGCTTATATGCAATATCTTTCTTTAGGTTTCAGAGTAAAACCTAAAAAGAATAACATTGCAGGACACACCTTTTGGTGTCCCCAGAACTCTAGTGGGTGTCAAAATCTAGTAGGTGTAAAATCTAATTTACCATTATTCACCAGCTTCTACAATGAGAAGAGTTTATAGGAAAAGTGTTCAGAGACTTTGACGGGAACTGGTACTTCAGTAAATATGGGCTGTTAGCTGGTGAATATTTTTTTCCCTGCCCATGGCTATCTGTGCTACCTGGAAGCATGAAGGGTTGAGTGACCAGGATTTGCCTAGGTGACTTTGCCTGCAACTACAGAAGATCTTATATATTCTGCTCTGAATTCTACCCCTTTAAATCAGCCCTCATTTTAATTTCATTATGACATGAGTGGTTTGGACTATTTACTTTAATCACCATGCTTTCATTTGGCACTTAGATCTTCGATGATAAAAGCATTGGCTTTTCTCTGATTGAAAATATGAAAATAACCAGAAACTGCATTCGGCCCGAGCAGACCCTGTTGATAAATGAACACCCATAATATATGTAACGCATGTTTAACTTCAGCTTAGGATATAGTTATCCTATATAGGATTTTTATTATAGCCATACACCTAACAAGACAAGTTCGATATAATGATCTTATCAAATAGAATGTTCAGTCAATAATCAGTTTCATGGAGAAGGAGTAATTGACTTGGCAGAAAATCCAGTAACTACGTTGATCTTTTTCTTTGTTGTATTGTTTTTTTAGTGGAAGATCATTTTAAATGATTTAATCTTTGCTAGATTATTGTTCTGTGTATTACCAGCATTATGGGACTGGAGGCAGCATTTCTTAAAAACATTTCTAAAGTATAAAAAACACAAAAGAACACCATCTTGATTCACATGGCCAGATATATACAGTAACTGATAGCGACCAATTCATCAGCTTAGAGCAGCAGTCTCAAAGTACCAGCCGGTACAATGGGGCCCGCAGCCAGAGGACAAGTCAGGTACTCGGTGACAAGTACCTGACTTGTGGGAGCAGCACTGAGATCCCTTCAGCTGGATCTCAGTTCTGAGCTTCAGTCGAAGGATGGATTAGTGAGGTCTGCAGCAGACCTCACTAATCACCGCTAGAGCACCAGGGATCAATCTGCCTCCTCAGGAGTAAGCAGAAGAGGGGGCTCTGTATTTTATTTTTATTTCATTTTAAATGTGAGTGTGCGTGGGGATGGGGGTTTTATTATTTTATTTGAGTGTATTATTCTATATATACATAGTATTTGAGGTTGAATAAAGACATAAGTCCATCAAGTCCAACCTATTGTTGATGTGTGTGTATGTGTATACACACACACATATATATATACATACATATACATGCACATAGAGAAAAAAAGTAGGAAAATAATAGGGTTTCTGGAGGGGTGCAATTGACCATCCGAGAGAGATTTGCTAAAAAATAGATCAAATTTTATTTAAATAATATTAGTTAAAAAATATTAGTGCATTACATATACGAAATGAAAAAAACCCTACATGATCTTGGTTTGTATAGTCATTGATAGGATATATACATAATCGTAGATCCAGATATTCAAAATTAGCATGATATTGGTCACATAATTGGCAACCACATGGTTGCCCCTATAGCGCTTAGACTAAATAGGTCCCTTTGTATAAACATTGATTGGATATAAACAATAGCATACATAAAAGTAGTCAAATTAACATGATCGTAATCACAGCGTTGACAGTGAAGTGGACAACAACATGATTGCCCCTAAAGTGGCTTAACTTAATAGGTACCGACGCGTTTCGACGGTGACTCAATAGGAGACCAAGGAGGTTTTGTTGGGGCCTTATGGCTTCCGCCCTCCCGATCCTCCAAGTATCTCTCTTACCTTACTGACCAGCCCTGCATGATCCATCTCTTGTGGGTCCCCTGATGAAGCCATTGGTGAAAAAAAAATTGATATATTTTTAGCAAATCTCTCTCGGATGGTCAACCCCTCCAGAAACCCTATTATTTTCCTACTCTTTTTCTCTATCAATTTATTTATAGGGGGAGAGGTGTAAACTAGGAGCCCACAGGGAGGCAACCCACGATTTAGCCAATTCATATACATGCACATACACATATATACATGTA